TAATCTAAATGACATGAAACTAATTCTCAAAAATATTTTCTCTAGTTTGCTATCAAATTTCTTTCTTCAATTGATAAATGAATCCTGAAAATAGTGTAGGTGCTTGGTTTTGTGCTTTAAGGTCTAATTTCAATTTTGGTTGATAATTGATCCTCTTTGGATCTCAATTCTTATTTTGTTAAAGTAATTTTTGCTAAAATCAACTTCTAATTTTTTCCTACATATGCTTATATCCTTTATTTTTTTAATCTATCTTATTTTTTTATTTATGGCCATACAAAGTAAATAGAATCTATTCTCATAAAAGACAATCTTAATACTACAAGATTTTACTACCTACCTACCTTTTATCTATGTTTTCTTACTATATATTTTTAATTAGGCTCTTCTATAATAATTATTTTTTTTCACCTAATAGTCATGTTATTACATGAAAATATATTGGTAGCTTATAATACAAGCTAATTATGTGGTATACAAATAAAAAACTTATTTTCTAAGTTAAGACATGTATTTCATAAATTGAACACATGTTCAAGGTCTTATAGAATATTGCCATATAATTCCTAATTAGATAATATATATGGAGGCAAGAGTGAATCCTTCTTCACTCTTATCAACACCTTTCTAGTTCTTAGTATTGTTTCAAGTCTTTCTAGTCTTCTTGTCTTTGATAATAGCTATTATAGTTTAATATTATATCATCTTTAAGTGTTTATTTAGTATTTTTGAGTGATACAAGAGTATATTGATTTTTTTATTCTTCAAGATTCATATCTTTAATATCTGAAAATGAAGGCAATCAAAATGAAGGCTAGAAATGGAAGAAATAAGGGCTAAGAATAATGAGAGTTGAAATGAGGGCCATGATTCTAATGATGATTTTTAAAGATGATATATTTTTTTAATGATGGTTATAATATGGTGGATTTATTTAGTAAATAGGTGAATTAATTTAATGTTATATATGTATATATATATATATATATATATATATATTATAATAGTTAGAATTTATATTAAATACTAATTATATTAATTAATATGTAGATGTGTCATTTATTTATTATTAATAAAAAAATATTTAGTAGAAATTCCCTTAATCCTCAATTTCAATCATTTATTTTATAGAATAGTCATTATATTCTATAAAAATAAGAATAATAAAATTTTAAAAAAACTAATATAATTTCTTTTAAATAGACACTCTTTTATATTGTCATTCACTTCTATATATATATATATATATATATATATATATATCTTGCAACAAAAATATTTATGAAATTTTTTTTGAAATTTTGATATATTATAATCTTCAAAAATATTATTTTCTACTTAAGCTTTGTAAAATTATAAATTTTCTTAACGACATGTAATTTATTTTGACATGCTAAAGCAAAATAACACTCTTGTAAACTATGAAGGTCTTTTAAAACTAATATTAATATTTTAGAAAATATTCTTAAATTAAAATGTATCATTTAATGTTGTAATTTTCAAAATGATAATTTATAAATAAAACTGCATGTAGTTTGATTCTAATTATTTCTGAATTGATTGAATCTTTTTATCAAAATGACAACATAAATTCATCTTTGGTTGTATCATGCTTATGTTGCAAATTAGTCTAAATATTTATATTTATACTAATGAAATATATAAAAATCCATCTAATTTTTTATTAAAATAAAGTATTTATTATTAACTAATTTAATATGGTATAATTTTAGACTTTATTCTTATCTTTGATTTTATTTCAAATTTGGTATGCAAAAACATAAAAATTATATATTTTCATTACTTTATAAATTATTTTGATAATAGTATATGTATTTAGTTTGCTTTGCACAATGCTTACAAACAACTTTCTTGACCTAAGTTTAATCAAATCTTTAAAATTTCTTACAAAGTTATTTTATGAAGTTAATTTTTATTTTGATATATATATATAAATAAAAATATATTATTACTTATATATATTATTTTTATTTTTTATTATAATAATTAAATTAGAAAAAAAATAAGAATTAAAATTATCTTGATCACAATTCAATGAATCCTCATAATTTGAAGATTTGATTATTTTTTAGGTAAGAATAAACTAGCTTCAAAGGAATCCAAGTTAATTCATTAACAAGTATCAAATGAAATCCAAAGATACCTAAAAGAGGTTTAAAAGATACAATGATCAAATAAAAGACTAGTAGATCCTTAATAATTTTGATGTATCACATAGAAGCAAATTGAAAGAGAACTAGTTGAATTAGTGTCATTGTCATAGAAAATATGTAAAATAATTAATTAATTTTATTCAAAGAACTACTCCTTAAGTTTAACCATAAGAAAGAAAAAATTATGATCAATCATTCAATCATGTGTTTTATATAGAGATTTATATAGAAATGGTTGTTTCTTAGAAATTAATGCTTTCTCAAAAATCAACAAAGTACAAGTCACAAAGCCACAAAGAGCTCAAACTGCAGGTGCAAGTAGGACTAAAGTCATAGCAAAGAAAACACCATAATTAATAAACACATTGTAAATAATGCAATAGAAAAAAAGCCTTATTAGTACATATTTTACTAGAAGACACCCCCTCCAACAACTATTTTGATGCATTGTGCATGAAGTTTATCCAATACATGTTTATTAAGACAACCAATCAAAGGGCTAGTTTGTCTCCCTAATTTATCATGTTGATATATATCCCTTATGTATTTCATATAATACATTATTCTATAAATGGACCATGCTGCATTGAAGTTTTAAAAAATGGAACCACTTTGAACCATGTGCAAGTTGACTCCAAATTGGATCTTTGTTTTGTATAAATTTCATGACATGGAAGAAGAAATATAAAAGATACCTATTGTAATATACCATCATTGCTATATTTGATGGATTTATTTTTTGAGAAAAGTAAAAGAGAGAGATGATAATACAAGTTGATACAAATTTTAATGTAAGAAAGAACTATACTTACAAGAAATGGATGGATTGAAGGCCACACAAAGTGATAAGAAAAGAAGGAGGTTGAATAGAAAAAAACATTAATAAAAAAAATCATGCCAAAAAAGGAATATAAGGGATAAAAAAGAATCCAAAAAAAAGGGAGGAAGATTTTGATCTTGTCCATTATTTTCCCATTCAATTCAAAAATTGATTAAATCATTATGTGGTAGGGAAATGTAGTTCTTGGCTTCAATTATGCTGAATCCAAAAAGGAAGAAAGAAGAAGAAGGCATTCCTTTGAATACTGTAAAATAGACTTGGCTGCTAAAAAAATGTTGAAATATGTCTCATGTACAAAACTTAGATAGCTTAATTATATCATTCCTCTTTTAAAGTAAGATTCTACTTCTGTAAAATCTTAATAAAATAAGTTATGACTCAAATTCTAACAAGCTGTTTATGACAATACATGAATATAAAGAAGTAGAAAGGTTGACTAATGAAGAGTAAAGAAATTATATATATATATATATATATATATATATTCTTAGTAAAAAAAAAAATCATGTTATGGAATTAATTTTTAATTTTTAATTTCTATTTAAAACATTTATCTTTTATGAGTTATTGAGATTAGTTTGTTTGTTTGTTTGTTTTATTTTTATTTTTATTTTTATCATTTGGTTGATTGTTGATATTTGCCTCATCTTTGCTTTTTACTTTCTCCACTAAAAATTTACATGTCACCTTCTATACTATTTATAAAATTTGCCAAAAGCTAATTAAGTATCTTTCTGCAATTGACTCTTGTTGTAGCAAACTTTTAAAATAATTATCTAGAGACTTGAACCACACCTGATCCCTCTCTTCTTCTGTGATCAACACAATGCTCATGAAAATGTTGCAGCTTCCTCCTGCTGATATTTAAATGGATTTCTTACTCCAACAACAACAACAAACCTACAGAAATTAGAAACACCAACAGCAACAAAAACTGCAAATGAATGCAATTTGAATGATACCTTGTTACTATCAAAATCTCTGCACTGACTTTCTACAAGTATTGAGTAGTAGTACCCTCTTTGTATGTAATCAGAGTGAGCCAGAAAGAAATCGGAAAGAAACTAGAAAGAAATCGGAAAGAAACTAGAAAGAAACCGGGAGGTAGCAGAAGGTGGAGAAAGATGGCGCAACCGTGACACCGCCAGGCAATGAACTCTGACCGACACGTGGCGGTAGGAAAGAGCCACGTCGGCGTGGTCCCCGTATGGAGTGGGCTCGGCCTGGCCCGCGGCTCGGGACCGCGTCGGCCGGAAATAGGGGGCAGAGTGGCGACTGGTCAGAGCAAGCGAGGGAGTGAGGGGGTAGGGGGGGGATGCATCGATGATGCGGAGTTCCGATCCAGGTATGTCCAAATTCTCAAGTCAGGTGGGTCTTAGATTTGCTGCCACTCCTCTAACAATGCACGCTTTCCGCTCCCTTCCATCCCCCCTCCTTTCTAATTTATCGCTTTTCTCAGCGAGAACTAGAGCTCCAAGTCCTCAGGAACGGAGTCATTCGCGCATCCTTACGCGGGTTATGCGGCGATCATTTCGATTGGGTGGGTTTACTTCGAGGCGTAAAAAACTGCACATCTAATTGTTCTCTTGGCCACAACGCGTAAAACTTGCGGTGCAAAACTTATCTTTGGGTGTGGGTTTCTACGTTTCAGAATCAGTAATACCCAGAGATTCTAGTGTAAGTGAACAACACATTGTGGATTCACAGTACAAATCTATGCGCAGTTTGAAGGATCATACACCTTCCTTGACTGTATCAGTGTACACGTGAAACTGTTTTAAGGTAACAGGTCCTTTAACATAGGGGGAGGAGGGTAGGAGAAGCAGGATGAAGTGAATTAGCTAAACTGAAGGATGGGGTGGTGGAAGAGGGCCATCCTTGCAGCCAGTGGCGCCGGGAAGTTGTGAATATATCACTGGCACTAGGGGTGCCTGAGCGGGCCGGGTCGGGCGGGAGTGAGCAAGACGTGTGTTCCTTCCTACTCACGCCGCGACCAAAAAATATAGTACTAATAATAATAATAATAATAATAATCATCATCATACTAAGAAGCCACCAATTCGACAAATAATTCGTTTAGAATCCCTGTGTCTCTCCTGCCAACGCTCGCTCAGCTATTTCAATGAGTGCAGGTTGAGTTTCTCGCATTTCTCCTGCATTGCCGATCACTTGGTTCGTGAAAGATCGGTTGTACTGTGCGCTACATGTGAAGGGATTGAGTAAGTTCCGAGAGAGCTTGTGGGTTGGTTGTCTGGTTCGTATCGCCTGTTCGTTGAGCGGACGTTTTTGACTGAGTGACCGCGCGTGGTCGACGCTGCTGCTGTTGATTAGATTTGAGTTAGAGGACTTGCGTTCATATCTGGTTGTGAAGCTTCAGAGCGACTGTGGTTGCGTTTCTTGGGGACGTGTAGTAGCGACGATGTCTTGCCTGTGCGCGCCCACCACCCATGCTGGCTCGTTTCGGTGCCGTCTGCACCGGTCCAGTTCTTTGAGCGGGCGTTCCATGACCATTAGGCTTATTTCTGGCGAGGACCTGGAAATTTCGACGGCTTCTTTGATTGAGAATTCTTTGAAGACGAGAGATCAGACATCGCAGTTAAAGCCAGTGGTTTCGCTTCCTGCTTCTCCTCTACGCATTCCTAAATCGAGGAGCCCAGTTCAAAGAGGCAGCAGGTTGAGGAACATGGTGAGCAGGTCGGACGAGGACGACGAAGCGCCGAAGCAATCGGTCCTCATCACGTGAGTTTCTTTCCATCCTGCTTTCTGTGCAACGGGGGACGCATCTCTGATCAACTCTAATCTCTTTTCGAGGAGAAATAGAATAAAATAAAAAGAACACTGCAGATTGTGGGTTTAAGTAGTGATTGCAGCAATTCGTCCAGGTTGGTGTCGTTCGGTGTGTCTGATTACACGGCACTGCGTAATGCAGAGAACGTATGCTTAACGTGAAGATGGCCACCAGAACCAGGGGCAGCTACGTTTCTAAGCCTGGAGGTCGAGCGGCCATTTTCAGGATGCTGAAGACGGGCCAATCGACTCCCAAGATATACTCATAATGTTATGTCTTTGGTAGTGATCATTCCTACTGTATGATATCTCGGTCCACCCTCTGTAAGTAATTAGTGTTCATATGCCTGACCCGAGCTTACCAGCTGTCTACACACGCATAACTATTGTATACTGTAATCTAGCTCCTTCCCACCGGTTTACATGCTGGATCTGTTGGTGCCCGTCTGTCGTCGAGGCCAGGAGCTCGGCCTCTCCACCATGGACTGTCAGGGAGATCGTCGAGACCTGCTTCCTTAGGTTTTTATCTTATTAGAGATCAACACTCGATGTCGTCCTAACGAGGACGAGTTTTGTAATCAGGGCGAGCACCTTTTGTGCCATATAGCATGATTAGTTTTTCAGCTGTGTAAATTATCTTCTGTATAAATGTTTCTTTTTTGGGCCATGGTTTGTATAGAGTGCCTTAGTTCGTAAATCTTGTACATTTGCGACAGATGGTTTGATGTCTCACAAAGGTCCGGTAATTGCAGGTTTAAAACTGTGTCATGCTGTAGTTATTTGAGGCCCCGAATGCTCTCGATGTATTCTTTGATGTCCTATTCTATGTCGTGCACGTAGTTCACGTTTACCATGCACTTTCTGGGCATGGTTTGATGGTATTTTTTTCGATGTCTCTTTCTAGTGCGTGTGGCCGTTCTCCATTCCAAGCTCCTCTCATTTCACGGCATGAGCAAAACCACATGGTCTCTTTGTATGAAGCTTGTTCACGCTGTGATGTCTCATTTTTAAACAAACATCGTCGAAGGTCGTCATTCCTTCCGATCCTTATCCTGCAACGTACTGTATCTGTTTGTTGATCTATGTCTTTTTGGTGGTGGGAATGGAATCATGTGCAATAGCAAAGCATCTCGTTTAGAGTGACTGACGTGGGGGGTGGTTGATTATTTCAGGTTTTGGAGATATCATTGCGTTCATAGTAATTACTTCTGATCCTGGCATTTGATATTAGATGCGTTGTGGGAGCTTGGTGTTTCTTCTAAGGAGCGTGGATGTCTTGTGGCGCTTTTGTATGTTTTTTTCTGTTGGCAGGGGATGGCAAATGACTGGATGCCACTGGATCGCCCAATGCTTCAACTGCATCAGGTACTTTCATCTTGCATTTGATTTTCTTTCACGTCTGCTTACAAAGATCTCTCTGCAACTTGGGCAGATGGTCATGGTTCAAATCCATGTGGGATCACCTTGGGAGATAATCATTTGCAGCTATTCCTTTTAGTTCTTGGATCATCCGTCCCAAGCTGGGATGTTGACGTATTCCGAAATCGTGCTGGTGTTTTCTTTCCGTTCTTTCATGTATTTTGGTGCACACCTAAACGTTCAGCATGTATTCTATCCGTTATTTCTCACAAGCGATTAAATATTTGGTTTCGGAGATGGGAAGACTTAGTGGAGTATAACAACAATTCCATCTAATAAGGCACCATATCCAGTGAATTGTGACAAAACTGTGGAAGTGAAAGGTGTGTCCAAACATGTCATCTTTTTGAGAATTAGAATTTTTTTGCTGAATTTTAATGATGCAATTGTGATGTCTTAACGTTCTGATGTTGAAGGAGTCGGTATTGGTTGGAACTTCAATAAATTCTGCATGCTCGACACTCAGCCTGGTCTGGCAGACATGCGCTTTAGTAGTACGTTATCATGTTCGAGTACTCACTTGATTCTATGTGATGGGCGGTGGATCAGATCTTTTCAGGGATCATACTCCCACATTTCTTTACCATCATCCTTGGATCCTTGTATTGTTCAAATATAATCAATGCTGGTGAATTTGAATGACACCATAGTTTGTTCTGACGTTCACCAGCGCTGGTTGCTTCTGCCCAAACTGCATAAGAAAGTATCCACCCACAGCAGGCTCTTTAAACACACAAGTATCAGATCCTTGAGTATACTTGTTTGTAAGGTGAAAGGATAATTGTGTAGAAATCACGCAAATTAAGCGATTCTGCCACTGACTACTTCAAGCTAAAACCTGTAAGCTTGCGTGTTATCTCCAGACCAGGGATACATTCTTAATATCTGGTATGAAGGTGGATTCTAAAGTTTTTACATGACGTTAACAAACTTGTGATATAATTTCAATAGTATGAGGTCTATCGCAATCGCATACTACACATGTCAGCCTGGTGCGAAATGTCAGTCGAGTCTGCCAATGCCGACACCCTTCACAAAAAGGCTGGCTAACTTCGAAACGAAAGTGGGTGTGAAACCGGTTTGGCTGGACGCTTTAGAGCCTGAACCGGATGCGAAAAAATCTGCTTCTAATCTGTGCATGCGGGTTCACTTTTGTTCACCCTGTAGCATTGGCCCACTTCATTAAAAAAAATAAAAAAAAATAAAAAAATAAAAAACATAAGCGTTAGAAAATCACTTTCAAGGTCCATTCGACAGCTTGGGGACCTTTTGAAGGCTACTTTAAGGTCACACCGTGGAGATTTTTTTGGCATGATGGTGCCTCGTAGTTTGTGTGAGCAAAAAAGTGGGTGGGAGACCTCAAAACCTCTGCACTTTTGCTTCCATGTGGACAAAAAGTGAGCTCCACGTCATTTGGCCTTTAAACAATCACTTCTACCGAACTTCCACCGATGCAGTTATCGTTAGTGGGATGCGGGGCTTGAACATTTTGTGCTGTTGAATCCAATACATGCTTTCCATCACCTGAATCACGCATTGCACTGTGAGTGTAAACAATGACCTTGCAACTTGGTGCATCAATCCACCACTCCTGAACTTCTATTTGGTTATTTTCTTCCCTTTTTGGTCATCATTCAGTGCCTCTCAGAATCTCAACAGGCTTTACACCTGCAACCAGTTTGTGAAACATCTACACAACTTCATGGTTTTGTAACTCTGCAATGAAGCGTTTCATGAGGTACCCAGTACAGTTCTAACCTCTCAACAGCCAGATGTATCAACTCTGAAATAGTGTGACCAAAAAGGCTCTGTTCTGCTGATACATGTTTCTTCTTTTCAGTAAAAGAAATGGCCCTTCATTTGAGAAATATGTGACTTGTTGGATGCATTGATCTGTGTCAAACGCTCTTGCATAAGCTTCTGTGTGTCTTGAACACAAGACGAGGCGGAATATCTTGAAGGTTGTTGTTGAGCTCTGGCATGGAGGGTTTGCTAGTAGCTGGTCACTTTTCTATATCAATATCTACTTAGCCTGAGTAGTTTTTGTTTTAATTTTTATATGTATGTGTTTATATCCATATATATATATATATATATATATATTATTTTTATTTGAATCATATGAACACATTACATTTGCTCTTCGAAGTGGATGTTAACATAGAAATAATAATCACAAGATCTAAACTAAAATATAGTATAAAAAAATTATTAATAATAAATGTCTTTCTTCTAATATTTGAATATGTAATATTTTTAAATATTTTTTAAAAAAATAACACAATGTATAAATCCATTAAATGTATATCATTATTTTATCTTGATAATATATATATATATATATATATATATATATATATTAAAATACTTATTTATACAAAGATACAAATTTACATGTATACGTACATATATATTTTTATTTTTATTTAGTAAAACTTTTTAATATATACTTTTTACTTTGATATTTTTAACTTTATAGATACAAATAAAAAATTTGAAAATTTAAAAATAGTAAAATCAATAAAAATAATATATTTAGATGTATATATATTAAATAATATTTATCAAGTTTGATACAACAATATTGATTTAAATTATTTTGAATATATTTTACCACTTGATTAATTCAAAACATCGAATATTTATTCTTTTGAGAGCCAATACACTTTATCCATGTATTTTTACAAATTTTGTATAGATTTTAAAAACTTGGATACAATAAAATAAAAATAAAATTATTGCCATGTTAGCTTCATTAATTTTAAAATTTTAATTATGATTATTTGATATCATTTTATAAAACTTTTATACATGCATTCTTAATGTCAAATTAAATTTTATTCTTTTCTAATATTTTAATTTAGAAATAATCTAAACTATTATGTTTTCAACTATTCAAATTAAAATGTGATATTAATTTTTAGAATAAATAAGATAATTTGATTTAATTGTAAACCTAAATTCATTAAATAATTTTTAAATCCTAATCTTTGCTAAAAATATAAAACAATTAAATGAATATTTTAAAATAAATCTTATTAATTTTTTCAATCCTTTATTGTTTACATCTGTATTTTTTAAAATAATATTAAAAATTTGATGTTGTAATTCAATTAAATCATGTTATGATTTTTTTAATCTTAAATTATATAATTTATTAAGTTAAAGATAAAGATATAAATAAAAAATATCCAAAAAAGATAAAATATTCAAAGTTTCAAAAAATTATAACTAATTGTAAAAAAATTAGAAAATCTTGAATGAAGATTGAAGTATAAGAAAGATATTAATAAAAAGGATAATAGCCTCAATCTTATCTCTTTGTATACTTATTAATAAGTAAGCCTTGTAAGAGTTTTTTAAGACCTTATGGCTTGAAATACAAGTGGACTATTATAGAATGCTCTCCAAATTAGTAATAAGTATTTTTTTTTTTTTTTATCTATTTTATACATATTTTCATGATATAAATAGATTGTATGGATATGATAGGATTTTATCTTCTTATGCCAAAAGTTTCTACCAAATTATAGTTTTTTTTTTCTAATTTTTCGACTAATTTTTTAAAATTTTATCGTTCTCAAATATTTTACTTTAAAGCCTAAAAAAACATAATTTTTAATTGACTTGTCTAACATTCCCACTTTTATTATTATTTCAATTCTTTAAAAATATTTAACTTTAATTTTATTTTTGATTTAAATTCAAAATTTCCTTTTTATTTCTTTTAATTTTTTATATTTTATATTTTAGTTAATTTATGATTAAATTTGTATGTATAAAGATTTTAAGTTTTTAGATTTGTATTAGGATAATAAAAATAAAAAAAAAAAAAAATTAATTATTAATTTTAAAGATTAATTTAAGAATTTATTGATCCTTATAAAAGTAAATTTTATTTTATTCTTTTATTATTATTATTGTTATTATTATTATTTATTATTATTATTATTATTATTATTTTCTCAAGTCATAAAGATCCTTGGTAGCAATTGCATAGATGAGCTCTAAAGTATAGACAAAAGAGAGTCTTAGCAATAAAAAATAAGAATGATACCAATATGAAAGACATGTAAGCAAGGGCTGATTTATTGCAAGGCATGCATGTAAGTAGGGTGTATTACAATGAAAGCATGGTTGATAGACATTTTGATTATTGGCAGAGAAATGTATTAAAATTTTCTATAATAGATAGTTATAATATTTCTTAAATTAAGAAAGTATTGCATTCCAACTAAATTCTTGAAC